TCTTTCCCTTGCTACCAGGCTGACCTTTTCACCGATCCGCTCTCCTTGGCCCTGCCAGGTGGGCACCACTGGTCTGCTCCGTAGTGAGTCCTGATGCCTCTGCAGACAAAGCACTGGCTGTTCTCCGCCGTGCCTGCACGGTGCAGTCTCCACGATTGCAGACTTCTAATAACGTCACGGCATGTTAGAAACGATAAGGTGACGGGGCTGGCAGGTGCCGTGGTGGTTAAGGGCACTGGACTCCCACTTGGCCGACTGTGGTTTGAGTCCTGGACCTGGCGACCTGCTTCCTCACTTACTTTCTCTCTCTCTCTCTCTCCCTCCCTCCCTCCCTCTCTGTTCAAATTAAATAAAGTTAAATAAAATAATTCTTTAAAAAAATGTTAAGGTGACATTGAAACACAAGGTTTATCTCAGTGACAATCGTGTGATTGTACAGGAAACTACCGCCTTGCGCTGTTAGAAGGAACAGTTTCTAGGATTAAAGAGTCCGTTACACCAGATGTTCTTCCTCCCTGTATCAGCTATTTCTTGTAGAATGGGTACAAGTTTGTTTAGAAGCATCATACTATCTCCACCAAAATCTGCTCTTTTTCTTTTTTTTAAACTAACCTTTCTGGGAGTTGGATTCTCCCGTTACCTGCTGCGTCGGGGCTGGTGCTCGCTCCTGCCTGGCGTCCACCCTGGTCCACCCCGTCGCGGGCGGGCCTGCGCCGGCCTCTTTGGCTTGTCTCTTCCCAGCTGGCTTGTCTCTCCCCAGCGCCCCCCGCAGCTCCACCCAGCGTCTGGTCTGCCCGCAGCCTTCCTTGCACCCTCTCTCTTCTCATCCAGCGTTCACTTCTGTGGGGCGCCATCCTCTTCCTCCAGCCCCAGGCCAGTCGGCCACCCTCCTGCTCCCAAACGTCTCAGCACCCTCCCACGACCCACACGTGTCCACACCGCGCGTCCCAGCGTGTGCAGTGTGGTCGGTGCTACGGCTCCGGGGGCAGACAGGGAGTCGTTCACAGAGGAGGAAGTGGGCCTGAATGCTGGAGAGATTATCCCCGGTCACAGGCAGATCTCGGATGCAAACTGATGGCTTCCGAACCCAGGTGGGTCTGCAGTTTCCTCCAGGCCCAGGTCCTCAGGGTCCAGCCTGAGCTTCCTCCCCACCACGGCACCTGCGCTGTGGTGAGGGTGCCCTGGCTGCTGCTCACTGCACTGCTGCCCGGCTTTTCTGCCTTCTGCCTTTGTCACCTGGTGCCCCATGTTGAACCCTATGTGCAGTCCCACAGTTCCATGCAGTTTGAGGCTTCTGGGCCCAAGCCATGTGTTTCCACTTCCATGCAGCCTCCCTGGGTCATCCTGTCTGGGAGGGATCGTGCTGCCTTCACTCGCGTGGCCTTGACAGCGCTTTTGCTTGACTTTGGAGTCTGGGTGTACGCCTTACTTCTTCCTGGTAGGTCAGGACTCCATGTTTTTCCTTTGCGTACCCAGTAGCAGCCAGCACCGTTCTTGCTTTTAAGGAGAGTCTCAGTCAGTCCTAGGGAGTTAAGCCCCTTCATGTCACGGTGAATAACAGCCGCCCATATTTAGCCATGCTTAGTCACCAGATCGTGTCAATTCAGTTTGAATGCACGGGACTTCAGAAAGTTCGTGGGAAAATGGAGTTAAAGTATAAATTTTATTTTGGGGCAAAACTTAAATCCATGCATTGCTTTCTTGGTAGCAGATTTTCTATGAACCTTTTGAAGACTTGTGTGTCTTGTGATTTATTTGTTGGTGAATCCTTTTGGTTTTGCTTTGTAATTGTGTCTCATATTTTGAGATGTTTCATTTTCATTTGCATTCACTTAAAAATATTTTGCAGTTTCCCTTGTCATTTTTTTTTTTTGGCCCATTTTTATTTAGGTGTGTTTTGTTTATTCTCCAGATAATCTTTCTATGTTGATAACTAGTTTAAATCTGCTGTCAACTTAGATCAGTCTATAATTTTAATCAGTGTGATTTATGGTCCAGTGTGGCCTGCTCTGAGGAATGGCTTTTGTGTATTTGAAAAGAAGGAATATTCCGCTGCGGTCCAGTGGCGGGTCATCTGGGTCAAGTTGGTTGTTGGTGGTGGTCTGGTCTTCTGTACCCTCACTGACCTCTGCCTGCTTGTTCTGTCCGTGGCTGAAGGAGTAGTGTTGAACTCTCCACCTCTCATCACGTCTCCTGTGGCTTCTACCTGTCCCTGCTTTGCGCATTTTGAAGCTCTGATACGAGGCTGAGCCATGCTGCGTGCTGTTATTAACGTTTGGTGGACTGACTGGTCGCATTAGGACACGTCTCTACCTCGGTGGTATTGCTCATCCTAAGGTCTGCTTTGTCTGATACAAACACAGCCACTCTGGCTCTCCTTTGATTAGAGTCAGAACGATCAGTCTATTTTTCATCCTTTTTACTTTGAACTTACTGCTGTCTTTATATGTAAGGTGGATTTCTTATAGCTAGAGTATAGTTGTATTTCTCTTCATTGGGATTTTGAAAGTATTTAGATTTAATGTAATTATTATATGGTTAAATTTACATCTTCAGGACCAGTAGTTGGTGTAATGGATATGTCGCTCAACTCCCATGTAGTTGACTGTGGTTCGAGTCCTGGACCCAGTGGCTTAAAAGTCACCCCGAGCGCGTGTGTGTGCGTGCCCAAGATCACAACAGGAGAATGAAGAAGAGACTGTGGTGTGACCATCCCCCCGGGGGGTGATTTCTCGCTTTCAGTCTCTCTATCTCTCCGGCAAGTGCACACTTCTTATAGCAAAAATGTATCTTGTTTTTTTTCCCCTATTTGTCCCATCTGTTTTTATTGCCCCCCCTTCCAGTGTTCTTTTGGATTGAGAATTTTTTGTTGTTTTCTGTTTTGCTCTGTTTCCAATGATTCTATTTTGTTTTTACTGTTGTTTTAGTAGCTGTGTATCTATTTTTTTTAGGGATTGTTCTAGGCTTTGAAGTGTACATGTTTACATTTTTACAGTCTGTCTTCAATTCATAGTATTATACTACTTTATGTATTAGGTCATCAGAAAACTCATGACATATTTTTCTATGCAAAAATGGAACCTGACTTTTCCGACAACCCAGTATTATGCAAGAACCTTTATACTAGTATACTTTCACTTTGTCATTCCATACTCAGTGCTGTTTCTGTCCTACGTTTTACTTATGTGTAAGTCTCACAATATGTTTACCACTTCTGCTTTAAATAGGCAAGAAAGCCTGTTACAGTTCTCCAAACATACCTTCCTGTGCTCTTTATTCCTCTTGTGAAGGTCTGGATTTCTGTCTGGTATCATTTATCTTCTGCCTAAACAACTTCCTTTAACATTTCTTGGTATGAAAAAAAATTTTTTTTTTTTAGTATGATCTGCTAGTGATGTATTCTCTAAGCTTTTATTTTACATTCAACATCATTCAAATATACTTCTGGATTAAAAAAATCTAGGTTGTGGGACCAGCAGTTGGTATGATGGCTATGTTGCTGGACTCCCTTGTAGTTGACTGTGGTTCAAGTCCCGGACCCGGTGGCTTAAACTCACGCCAGGCGTGTGTGCGTGCATGCCCAGGGTCCTGAGAAGAGAATGGAAGAGAAAGGATTGCACTGTGACCATCCCCCCGGGGGCTGATTTCTCGCTTTCAGTCTCTCTGTCTCTCTGGCTAGCGCATGCGCCCTATAACAACAACAAAAATCTAGGTTGACACTGTATTCTTCCAAGACTTCAATGTCATCTCTCCATCTGACTTAGTTTTTGACGAAAGTTTAGTGTCATTCTTATCTTTACCTCTTTAAACAAAAATATCTTTTTTGTTTTGTTTTCTGACCACTTATATCCTCTTCACTATTCTGCAGGTTGATTATGCCTTGGCATAATTGTTTTACATTTTTTCTGGTTAGAGTTTGTTGAGCTTTTTGGATCTATAGATTTATAGTTTATCTTACATTGAAAAATTATTCACTGCTATTTTTTCAGATTTTTTCTCTGTTGATCCTTGTTCTGGGACTAAAATGATACTGTGTAAGATTATTTGATGCTGTCCCACAAGCCACTGACTCTGTTTGTGTTCTCAGTGTTTTCCCCCTCTCTGCTGGCTTTGGATAGTTTTTATGACTATGTCTTTCAGTATCTTTTCTTCTCTAGTGTCTAATTTGCTTTACAATAGTGTAATTTGATTTTCTCATTCCTGGTGAGTATCTTTTTCATT